CCTCCAGCAGTTCTCCAATTACATTTCAGGTGTCCCTAATCTGCACTACTTCCACAAAGGTTTTAGCTCCTGGATTTGTGCTCTGATAAATGTGACTCTCTGTATTCCCATCTGTCTCTCCAATTTGGGGGGCATTGGTTTGCCCTGCAATTGATCTTATCTTACAGATCCAAGAAGAGGTGTTAAATTTTCAGTTTGTTATAGCTTTTTATTTATTGTTAGGATGGGGTGGTGATTTCCAAACTTCTTACATGGCAGACTAAAAACCAGAAGTCTAATTTATTTATTTATTTATTTATTTATTGAGACTGTTTCACTTTATTACCCTGGGTAGAGTGCTGTGGCATCATAGCTCACAGAAACCTCAAATTCCTGAGCTCAAGTGATTCACTTGCCTCAGCCTCCCGAGTAGTTGGGACTACAGGTACCCACCACAATACCTGGCTATTTTTTAGAGACAGGGTCTCACTCTTGCTCAGGCTGGTCTTGAACTTGTGAGCTCAAGCAATCCACTCACCTTGGCCTCCAGAGTGCTAGGATTACAGGTGGGACCCACCCTGCCTAACCCTCAGAAGTCTAATTTTTAGTTTAATGTAAAACTAGAGCCTATTTATAACTCAAATTCTATTTTTTTTTCTTTTTTTGAGAGAGTCTCACTTTACCACCCTTGGTAAAGTACTCTGGCATCATAGCTCACAACAACCTCAAACACTTGGGCTTAAGCAGTCCTTTTGCCTCAGCTTCCCAAGTTGCTATGACTACAGGTGCCCACCACAACAGCTGGCTATTTTTAGAGACGAGGTCTCACTCTTGCTCAGGCTGGTTTTAAACTCCTGAGCTCAAGCAGTTCACCTGCCTTGGCCTCCCAGAGTGCTAGGATTATAGGTGTGCGCCACTATGCCTGGCCTCAGATTATAATTTTATAGGCAGAAATAAGGGAAAGAGTAAATAAACCAGAAGCCTTTCTAAAAATAAAAAATAGGCTCGGCGCCTATAGCTCAACCTGCTAAGGCGCCAGCCATGTACACCTAAGGTGGCAGGTTCGAATCCCCAGCCCAGACCCACCAAACAACAATGATGGCTGCAACCAAAAAATGGCCGGGCGTTGTGGCAGGCGCCTGTGGTCCCAGCTACTTGGGAGGCAGAGGCAGGAGACTTGCTTGAGCCCAGGAGTTGGAGGTTGCTGTGAGCTGTAATGCCACGGCACTCTGCCCAGGGGGACAGCTTGAGGCTCTGTCTCAAAAATAAATAAATAAATAAATAATAAGTTGCCTTTTCCAAATTAAAATTTGGGAATCTTCTAAGCAATAGAGTCTAGATTGCTTATTCCAGCATTGTAGATATGAGCACTGCCTAAGCTTGAGTAAAAAGATATGGCTACGTGGCAGGCACAGTGGCTCAGACTTATAATCCTAGCACTTTGGGAGGCCAAAGCAGCAGGATCACTTAAAAGGCCAGGAGTTTAAGACTGGCCTACGCAACATAACTATTAAAAATCTTAAAAATGAGTCAGGAATGGTGGCATGTGCCTATAGTCCCAGCAGCTCAGGAGGCTGAGGTGGAAATATCACTCCAGTGAGCTGTGATTGCACCACTGCATTCTAGTCTAGGCAGCAGAATAAGACCATGTCTCAAAAAAAAAAAAAAAAAAAGAAGAAGAAGACAATGACATACTTTCTGGCTCTAACTCTTTCATGGAGTTTTTCTCTCTCCCATGTTTGAGATTTGAAAACTAAACCCTGACTTGCTGAGCTGAAAGGCAAGAAGGAAAAGACTGAGCTTCTTTCCATCATGTTGGAGAATTGAGTATTCAGCCAAAGTGCCTAATAGCTATTAGTTTGTACTTTTTTTTTTTAGACAGAGGTGTCATGGTGTCAGCCTAGCTCACAGCAACCTCACACTGCTGGGTTTGTGATCCTCCTACCTCAGCCTCTCAAGTTAGCTGGAACTATAGTCACTCACCACTATGTCTGGATAATTTTTCTTTTTTTTAGTAGAGATGGTGTCTCACTCTTACGCAGGGTGGTCTCGAATACCTGAGCTCAAGTGATCCTCCCACCTCAGTCTCCCAGAGTGCTGGGATTACAGGGGTGAGACACCATGCCTGGCCCGTGCCTTTGTTTTGAGGTTGGCTTGCACTACTGTTTTAGCACTGTACAAAAGGCTGCTATGCATCTCCAGTTCTGGGAGTCTGTACACATAGGATATTTTTCACTTAAGACATCATTCTACCTTTAGTTTGACTGCTTTGGTTTGCAGTCCTGCTGTATTACATCTCTTGTGGTATGTGAAGATACTGCAGCTTGAGACAGTGAACATTGCCCACTTGACTATGTGTTTATAAGTACACTGGGCTCGGTGCCTGTGGCTCAAGTGGCTAAGGCACTAGCCACGTATACCTGAGCTGGTGGGTTTGAATCCAGCCCGGCCCACCAAACAACAATGACGGCTGCAACCAAAAAATATAAGTAAACTGGTACTACAGTGGGATATTACTGGTGTAGGGAACTCCTAGTGATCACAGCTGTGTTTAAATTAGATTCACTTCTTCAGTGTCATGGCAGTGTTAGTGAATAACACAAAGGTTGAATAGATAAGAGAAAATCATGTATATTCTGCTTTCTGACTACCACCGCAGCCCCTTTTATGTTACTTAGAAAGCAGACCAGATCAGACCCATGGTGAATTGGCAACCACTTTGGTCTCATTTCAGATGCTTTATGTTTTCATCCAGTTCATTAACTTATTTGTTCATGGATGATCATTTCTCAGCAGCCTACTCTGTATATTAACTACCTTGTGTGTGAGTGTTCTGAATATGATAGTTCTGAAGTATTTTTATTTATTCCAGTTGATAACAACTGCTGTTAATATCCTCTTTTTTTTTTAAATTGAGACAGAGTCTCACTTTGTCACCCCGTGTAGAGTGCCATTGCGTTATAACTCACAGCAACCTCAAACTCCTGGGGGTTCAAGCCATCCTCTTGCTTTAGCCTCCCAAGGAGCTGGGACCATAGGCACCCGCCACAACGCCTGGCATTGCTCAGGCTGGTCTCGAACTTGTGGGCTCAAGCAGTCTGCCCATCTGGGCCTCTCCCACCCAGAGTGCTAGGATTACAGGTGTGAGCCACTGCACCCAACCTATTAAATTCTGGTTTGAGGAAAGGACATATTATATATAACCTTAAAATATTTATTAAGCCATGCTTTTAAGCTCCCCACGGAAGTCTTGGTAGTTATAATGTAGGTTATATGCCTGTCTACCAAAGTACTCAGCTGGGTGGAAGCCCAAGAGTTCAAGATCTGCCTGCGCAACATAGCAAGACCCAATCTTTAATTAAGTTAATTAGTAAAATTATAATGTGGTTATTCTTTATAAGGAAATTAGCCACTAATACTTTAAAACTGTAAGTGCTTTTTCACCTCTCCTGAGCTAGCTTGTTAGAAACTTCATACCCCTTTTGTTCTTCCTTTTAAAAATTCATAGCTTCAGCTTGGCACCTATAGCTCAGTGGCTAGGGTGCCAACCACATACACCGGAGCTGGCAAGTTCTAATCCAGCCCCGGCCTGACAAACAACAGTGACAACTCCAACCAAAAAATAGCCAGGCATTATAGCAGGCCCCTGTAGTCCCAGCTCCTTGGGAGACTGAGGCAAGAGAATCGCTTAAGCCCAAGAGTTTGAGGTTGCTGTGAACTGTGACATCACGGCACTCTACCCACAGCAACATAGTGAGACTCTTGTCTCAAAAAAAACAAAACAAAACAAAACTATAGCTTCTCTGTAATAGATGATTAATTGGGATTAAATAAACACCTCAGTTTGTAATAAGTGTGCTAATAAGACTTATATCTAAGCAGTGAGTGAGTCTGTGACAGCTGGTAAGACTCTCATTTCTAGTTTGTGATCTCTTTGGACTAAGGACTTTTGGCCAAGTAGTTCAATTTAGGAAGTCCACCAGACACTAAGAAAACTGCTCTGGAACACTTGGTTATAGTGAGTTGGGCTTAAGGGATCTGTTTTTTTCTTGTTTGTTTAAGGTAGCTGACTCTGGGGAGGCATCTATGGCTCAAGGAATAGGACACTGGCC